ATGTCCCGTCTGCCGCAGGTCTTGTTGCGGAGGCTCCTCATTGGAGAACCTCTTTTGGGCCTCAAGAATGCCTCTCAAGGGCTTTGGTGACCTCTGGAGGCATCCTGTTGAGCAAGGACCGACCGTCCCGGCATTCCTATAGGCCTACCACGACATGTTCTGAGAACCCCAGAAGTTTCTCAAAACAAAAACAATGCTCTTAGGACATAAGCCCGACGTGTGAAAATAAGGTAGACTCAGCAAGAAATGTTCTAAGAACAAGTCGTGCAAACCACAAAAAGTTCTCAGAACATTATTTGGTGGGCCTATAGGCGAGCTGGGACGCTTCGCCACTGCTTGATCCTGGGCGCCTCTTTGGGCCGTCTTGGGGGTCCTTTTGAAGCCCGTGCGGGCCGTCTTGGATCCCCCTTGAGGCGTCCTGGGGCCTTCTTGGGGAACTTGGGCCCCATGGCCCTCGTGGGGCTCTCTTGGAAGCCTTTGGGGGCCTCGTGATCTTTCTTTGGGCAATCTTGGGGTCCTCTTGGCTCGGCTCGAAGACCTCTTGGGGGCCTCTTTTGGGCCGCCTTGGGGCGATCTCGCAGGCTTCTTGGGACTTCTTGGACGCTGCCGCGACGCAAAAAGCGAAGATGCCAAACATGCACGTCTTTCTTATGTATGGAATGGAGCGATACTTGCCTTCTGGGGGGCTCTCCTGAAAGCCTCGTGGGGGTGTCTTTGGGATATCTTGGGCCGTTTGGGACCTTCGGGCAACGAGCAAAGCAGCCCCCCGAGGCACCGAGGGCGAGGAACCGGGGTAACCCAAGGAGCCCGGGGAACCTCCGAGCACCGTGCAAAGTAGCACCCCGAGACACCAATATCTTACCAAGTAGGAACCCCTTAGGCAAGCCGTATTGGGGAAAAAAGCTACAACTTCCTTAAAAGGAGGGTTTGAATTTTGGCAGGGTTAGACAAGGTTTCCCCTGGATCCCCCCAAGACTCCTCTCAGGGTCCTTGTTCCTCCGACCCCCGCAAACTCCCCAACAATAGAGAAGTCGCCATGTTGGCCTGGAAACCTACGTGGCGGTGACTGATGGCCCAGGGACGCCAGGCCAAGGGGATGCCATGGGGGAGGCCAGGCCAGCCGAGGCCATGGGGGGGAAGTCCGGCGGGGGGGAGGGGCAGCGGAGGAGCACGAGCGACGCACGACGAAAACAAAGAGGCCCGGGCTCTAGAGCACAGCTGTGCAAGGGAATAGGGAGGTCCGAGCTCTAGAACTCAGCTGTGTAAGAGAAGGGCTGGGAGCAGGAGCCTGGGGCCAGGGCCAGGGGAGCTGGGCGGGGCCGGGCAACGGACGACGACGACCACGACGAGAAGCCAGGGGTCCGAGGCCAGGGGTGCTGGGACCCAGGCCAGGGGAGGGCCTGGGGCGAGGGCCAGGAGAGGGCGGGAGCTGGAGCCAGGGCCAGGGGGGCTGCGGCCAGGGCCAGGGCGGGGGGCGTGCGGCCAGGGCCAGGAGCGAGCGACACGGCGCAAGTGCAAGGGTCTGATGGGGGCGGGGGCTGGAGCCAGGGCCAAAGAGGGCGGGGGCCAGGGCCAGGGAAGGGGCGGAGGACAGGGCGAGGGGCGAGCGACGAAAAGAAGGGGGTCCGAGGCCAGGGCCAGGGACGAACGACGACACGACGAAAATGAAGAGTGCCGCGCTGCAGAACACAATCGTAAAATATGATAAAGAGGTCAGGCACAGTTGTGCAAAACAAATAGACATGATTATGCCTCCCTGGAGTTGCATCCTGACAGAGAGAGAAGGAGCAAAGAGAGAGAAAGAGAGCGAAAGAGAGAGAGAGAGGCAGAGGAACAGAGAGACGGAGAGATGAAGAGACAGAGAGAGAGAGAGACAGAGAGAGGGTTATAGTGAGAGAGAGAGGGATATAGTTCTACAGAGACATATATTGAGAGAGCGAAAGAGAGACGCAGGGGGAGAATGCCGTCGCCCAACCACGTCTTGCTGATATCGACCCCCCTCCCCACACGGTCTGCCACGACCAGATGTGAAAAGGCAGCGATTGCCTACTGTAAGACAGTCAAGGGGCACACCGCTACACGAGTGGAACAGCGAGTGGACATGAGGTGCCCCGCGCCGCTAGCCAGCATTCGCGTGAACCACGCGCGCCTGCGATGCACCGCCTCACATTACAAATTATAATGTGAGACTACTGGGCGTGCCAGCAGCCAAGGCTCGAGGTCAAGACCCTTGGCATATCAGGGAAGACGCTCAGAATATTACGGGAGACGCCAGAGATCAACGAATCACAAATTTGAGAAAGCGACAAACCACCCGTAGGACTACCGGTAGAAAGCGTTGGTGACCCTCTAAAACACTCCAGAATCGCGTGTCAGCAGGAAAATATTGCAGACGTACCGTCTGGACGCCAGATGCCAGCGGGACCCAAACTTGGCTTGACAGCGCGTGCACGCTCATGTATACAGTCCAGCACACTCGGATGCTTTCAAACGAGAGAGCGCGCTCGTGGTACACTCCCAAAGGGGGGGTCCCCCCTTAGCTACCCCCCCTCTCTTGCGCCTCCCCTGCTGGAAGCCCCCATGCCCCCCCTCCTTTTTTCCCGCCCCTCGAACGCTACCCCCCTGCCTGTCGCGCTCCGGAAGCTCCCCCTCCCTCCTTTTCCAAAGGGCGGGGGGGCTTAGCTGCCCCCGCCCCCCCTTGGACGTCCTCTGCCAGAAGATCCCCCTCCTTGTTTTCGCGGCTCGGAAGCTACCCCCCCAGCCCCCCGCTCGCGCTCTGGAAGCTCCCCCCCCTTTAGCTCCCCCCCTGTAAACCTCCTCTGCCAGAAGCCCGCCCTCCCCTCTCCACCTTTTGGGCTAAAGAGGGGGGGGCTTGGAAGCCCCTGCCCCCCCTTTGGCTAAAGGAAGGGGCACCGAAGACTAAAATGGCGCCGCAAACCAACAGAGCGCCGAAAACCAAAGGGCCATCGAAAACCGAAAGGGTGCCAAAACCAGAGGCGCGCCGAAAACCGAAAGGGCGCTGAAAACTGAAGGTGCGTCGAAAACCAAACGGCGCCAAACACTAAAGAAGCGCCGAAAACCAAAAGAGCGCCGAAAAGCAAAGGGGCGCCGAAAACCAAAGGGCGCCAGAAACCAAAGAACGCCCAAAAACAAAGAGGCGCCAAAAATCACAAAGGCTCCGAAAAGCACCAGGGCGCCGAAAACCAAAGATGCGCCGAAAATCAAAATAGCACCGAAAACCAGAGCAGCGCCGAACCAAAAAGCACCGGAAACCAAAACGATGCCAACAACTAACGGGGCGCCGAAGACCAAAAGGGCACCGAAAACTAAAGGGTGCGCCTAAAACAAATGGAGCGCCTAAAACCAAACTTGCGCCGAAAACCACGAGGGCGCCAATAACCAAAGGAGCGTCGAAAACCGAAAGGGCGCCGAAAACCAAAGGGGCACCGAAAACCAAAAGGATAATCGAAAACCAAAAAACGCCGAACACAAAAAGTGCGCGGAAAACCAAAGACGGGCTAGAAATAAAAGGGTGCCGAAAACCAAAAGGACACCGAACTCCAAAGAGGTGCCGAATACACAAGGGGCGCCGAAAACAAAAGGGGCGCCGAACACCCAATGGGCGCCGAAAACCAAATGGCGCCGAAAACTCAAGGAGCGCCGAAAACCAAGAAGGCGCCGAAAACCAAACAGGCGCCGAACACCTAAGGGGCGCCGAAAACCAAAAGGAGTGCCGAAAAACAAAGGGGCGCCGAAAACCAACGATGCGCCGAAAACCGAAAGGGCGCTGAAAAACAAAAAAACGCCGATAAATAAAAGGGCGTCGAAAACCAAGAGGGCGCCGAAAACAACAGAAGCTCCGAAGACGGACAGGGCGCTGGAAACAAAAAGGGCGCCGAGAACCACAAAGGTGCCGAAAACCGCAAGGGCGCCGAAAACCAAAGAGGCGCCAAAAATCAAAGAGGCGCCGGAAACCGAAAGGGCGACGAATTCATGTGCTGAAAATCAAAAAGGCGCCGAAAAATCAAGAGGGCGCCGATAATCAGAAGAGCGTCGAATACCAATGAGGCGCCAAAGACCAAAGGCGCGCCGGAAACCAAAGGGCGCCGAGAACCAGAAGGGCGCCGACAACCAAGAGGGCGCCGACAACCGAAGGGGCGCCTGAACCCAAGAGGGCGCCAAAAACCAACTATGCGCCGAAAACCAGAGGGTACGCAGAGTGCCAGACGCCGAAAACCACCGGAGCGCCGAAAACCACAGGAGCGCCGAAAACCAAAGGGGCGCCGAGAACCAAAGGGGCGCCAAAAGGCCACAGGGGCGCCGAAAACCACAGAGCACGCCGAAAACCAGCGGGGCGCCGAAAACGAAATAAGACAAGTAATTTCGAAGTCCCCCCTTCAGCCAGGGCCCAGCTGGAAAAACCAACAAAAGGAAGGGGGGGGTAGCTTCGGACCCCCCCCCCCTTGGAAACGGGAGCCCGCGCTTGCCCCCGGGCACCGAGAAGGAGGGGAGGCGGGGGGGAGCTTCCAGGCCCCCCCCCCCTCCCCCTTTTAGCCAGGGCTCCCCCAGCTACAAAATCCAAACAAGAAAGGGTGGTGGGGGTAGCTTCAGAAGCGCCCTCTCCTTTGAAAGGGAAGCCCCCTGGGCCGACCCTGGCCCCCGGGACAAAAAGGGGGGGGGAGCTTGGAAACCCTCCTCCTTGTTGATGGTTTTTACTTGGACCAAGGGGCTACAGATTAGCATGTACAGTCAACACGCCTCCAAGATGCAGGCGAGCGCATCGCCTTGCATCTTCTCTGTACTGCGGCTCGAGCCTCCCTCTGAAGGCTCAAGCTCAAGCCAAAGCGGGCGTCCCCGCCGTGGCTCCCGCGCGCCCGCGCCCGACGCGCGCCCTCGGCTCAAAGGAGCGGCCTTCGCGCCGCGCCCTCACCCGTCTTGGGTGGCCCTCAAAGGGTCTTGCGTCCCGGCTCGGACCTACCCCGTGCTGCTGAGAAGCGCGCCTAGGTGCGAGCCTAGACTCGCATCCGAGCGGAACGCTCGGATAGGCACCCTGCCTGGAACCAGCCGCGCGGCCCATGCCGCTGCGGCCAGCCCCTCACTGCTGGCCATGTGTTGGCCGCCGTCCCTCGTCAGACGAACGATGAGGTCCGCCTTCAAGCCGCTCACTGGCAGCTTCCGCCACCTGAGCTCCTCCTTGAGCTCTGCCACGGTGGCCTCAGCCAGCATCTTCCCGAAGTACTCCGAACCGAGGTCTCGCCCTTCGGCGACCCGCTCAGGCGTAGCTATCGCCGCTGCCCGAGAAACGACATGCCCCTCAGGCGCGTCCTTCGACGCCGCCTCGGGCCTCGCCGTGCCGTCGGCCTGCGGGGCAGCCCTCGCCGCTCCCGCTGGTGGGGCAGCACTCGCCGCCCTAGATGAGAAGAGCTGCACCGCCCCTCTCGTGCACACAACTGCGCCCTTGACCGCGAGCACCAGCACGATGATGAACGCGATCATGGCGAGAACGATCGAGCCGATGTTCGACTCGACCTCGTCGTCAGCGGCCGCGGAGCACTGCTTGTCTCCGTGCTCGGCCGCCTCCGTGAAAGTGACGCCCACACCCGCGGCGAGCCCCTTGGTCAGAAGCCGCAGGTTGGACATCTCCAGCAACTTGAGCACCCGCTTGCCGTCCAGATGCTTGGTCCCCAAGTCGCTCCTGTTGCTCTCCGTGTCGACTCGCCCGAGCTGCAACTCGCCGAGCCTGACTCGTTCCTGCACCCACAGGTCTCGTATCTGTAGATGCCGTACTTTGCCACTGCCGATCCGTGTCGCGATCGCCCTGCCTGCATTCGAGTCGCTGTGAACCTTCGACGCGACCTCGATGCCACACTGCTGGTAGAACTGCCGCATCATGATCGCACTCGCCGCGCCTCGGCCGATGGCGTAGAACTCGGCCTCTCCGCTGCTGAGCGCGACGACGGGCTGCGATGCCACCTGGGTCTCCAGGAGGTGGCTGCCAAAGAAGCCGTATACGGAGCTGGTCGATTTCCTCGTGATCTCATCCTCTGCCCAGTCCGAGTCCGTCTCGTAGAGAACCGCCTTGGGCATCTCCTGCTTCTCGTAGAACCACCCGAGCTCGCGCCGACCGTGGAGATACCGCACGCACCGCCTCAGCCTAAGCATGCTGATGACTGTGGGCTTCCCCATGTCCGTGAGGATCACCTTCACCGCGAACTGGATGTCTGGCCTGTCTACCGCCACGTAGTTGACGAGCCCCGCGACCTGCTGGTAGAGCTTCGCCTCGTCGTGCGGTAGTGGATCCAGCGCCTCCCGGACGCTCTTGCCCGTGGCCTTGCTCCCAGGCGTGTCCGCTGGCTTGCACTCCGTAAGGCCCAGCAGCTCCACGCACCTCGTCACGTGCTTCGTGTCGCCGATCCAGACGAACCCCTTGCCCGTCCACCTGATCTTGCGCTTGAGGTACGGGAGCTCGCGGACGCCATCCGGCCCGACACGACCGATGCACTTGACGTCCATGCTCGCCATCAGCTGCTGGTCCAGGACATCCAGGGACTCCTCCTCACCCTCGGTCAAGATGTCATCACCGTGGATCGCCGAGGTCATGTCCAAGAGAGGCTCGTGGTACACGCCCGCCGCCACCGCGATGCGCGTCCAGTTGTTCTTCTTGAACACCCCGGCCACGTACTCCTGCCAAGCCTGTGCCGCCTTGCGCGTGCCGTACATGGCCTTCCGGAGCTGCCACACGTACCCGTCTCTCCTAAGTCCTGGAGGCGGGATGACGACGATCCACTCGTCGAGGTCGGCGTGGAAGAACGCCACGTATACGTCATGCACCGAGAGATGCCTCCGACCCTTCTTCGTCGCCGCCAAGGAGACGATCGCCCTGACGATGGCGATCGGCGGCGTGCCCGCGTTGCAGTCCTCTCGGCCGTACGTGTTGATCTCCATGGCGACGCCTCGGGACCGGACGAAGGAGGTGCCGTCCTTGGTGCGCAGGTCCTCGACCCACTTGAAACGCACCACCTTGCCCCGGCTCTCGGCCACGCGGACCTCCTCGAAGACGCCGTGTCGCCGCATCTCCTCGATCTCGGCCTCGCGCCCGCGCCTGACCAGGTCCCTGGGGAGCTCCTTCCCGCTCCTCGCGTCGTACACGTGCTTCTCCGTGTCTGGCAGGACCGTGATCGCCGACGGCTCGACGGGGCTGACCTCGAACATCCCAATCTCCAACGGCTCGCAGCTCTCGATTTCCGTGACCGTCTCGAGCTCCTCGTGGGACTGCTGGTCCAGGCCCTCGTACGTGCAGGGGTTGATCTCCACGAAGGCCCCGACCGCGAGCGACCCGACTGTGATCGCCGCTGTCTGGCGCGGCCTCTTCGCCGACGCCTCGCCCTGGTCGTCGCGAGGTGCCATGCTGGCGTCCCCGGACGATCCTGGCCTGCCGTCTCCAGCTCCAGCCGCTGGCCCCGGCGCGGCTCCCGCCGCCGCCGGCGTCGGCGCAGCCCCCGCCGCTGCCGACGAGGGTGCGGCCTCCGCCGCTGCCCTGGCCATCTCCTCCTTGCGCAGCTCGTTCTCGATCCTCTTCCGGCACTCCTCACTGTGCGATCCCATGCCTGTGATGCACCTCGGGCACATGGGGGTCCAGCCGTACTTGTCGATCAACGCCCTCGTGATGTACGTCGACCTCAGCCCTGCGCCTCCTGGCCCCGCGGGCGGCGCCGGCCCGACCATCGCTGGTGGCACCAGCGCCTCCGGGCCCGCAGCCGGTAAGGCCACCGGCGGTGGTGGAGGTGGCGGCATCAGCCGCTGCTGGTTCGGCTCCACCTGGGGCGCTCCCGTCGGCACGATGCCGATCTGTGGAGCCCGGTGCATGTCCCACGGCACCCCAGCGAACTTGTCCAGCTCCTCCAGCACGAACCGCTCGCCCTCCGGTCGCCGTCTCACCGTGCGCACCCTTGTCGTGCGCGTCGGACCCGCCACCAGGTGCTCGTCCGAAACCTCTGTCTTGCCCAGCCACACCGCCGCGTGCCACCGAGGCTGCAGCTTGGAGGTCGGCGTGGGGTCCCTCGCCCAAACGCACTCCGCGAAGTTGACGAGCTCGCCCCGATACGGTCTCCCCTTGAGCACCTCGTAGGTCGTCTTGCCGTTGCCGTGCACCGTGAAGCGGTTGAGCTGCCAGCCAGCGTGCCGAATGAGCCAAGGTAGAAGCCCATGCTCGGCTGGGAGCTCCCGCTTGTAGTTGTCGCCTACCGAGAACAGCAGCGCTCTGATCTGCTTGCCGAGCTCCTCGTTGGCGCGCTCCACTCCACCGACTCCTTGATGGTTAGCCCGCTGAGCTGACTCGATCATCGTGGGCGCCTTCCGCTGAGCCTTGATCTCCCTCGCCAGGGCCGTGATCGACGCCTCCTGGTCGTGCTTCAGCACGATGCGATCCAGCCCCCAGTTCTCAATGGTGGCGACCGCTGTCTTGACCATGTAGGCGTCGGTACCCTTCGGCCCCATGATGCCATGAATAGCTTGGGAGTTCATGTGCACCATGTTGAGGATGCTCAGCTGGCCCAGGAAGTAGTAGTCGATCTGGACCTCGTCGCCCGTGCGCTCGTGCCCGGCCTTGTAGTGCGGGTCGTCCGTGAACTTGGATCTGACGCACACCCAGCACCAGGACCTCGCCGGAATGTGCACCAGCTCGTGCGTCCTCTGCTCGGCCAGGCTTGGCTTCACCGGATCCTTCTTGACTCGAACTGGCACGGACTCCTCGAGCACTGCCTGCGCTGCCGGCTCGCTCGCCTCGGCCTGAGCGCGGGTCGCGGCAGCCCCTCCGCCGCCGCCGCCCTGGAGCGCGGCCCTCGCCGCTGCCCTGGACGCGGCTGATGCGCCGCCGGGCTCGCCTCCTGGCTCCTCGCCCCGCACCGGCATGACGAGCGAGTTCTTGACGCCTTCACCGTACCTGTCCATCTTGAGGTAGAACAAGTCGTTGCGCCTGACCAGCGGCACGGCGTCTGGGTCCGAGAACTCGATCGGCTTCGGGATCATGTAGCTCCCGCTCGGCGTGAACACCCACGACGTGCCCTTGTCGACCGCCTGCGACACGCCCAGCACCGGCCTCTTGACGTCGGCGACCTTGTAGTCCACCCCGATCTTGTGCCCGTCCTTCGCGTACGTGACGAAGCGCTCGCCGTGGCACGGGATGTCGTCGCCGCTCGCTCCGACCAGCCTGATGCGCTCGCTCAGGTCTCTGAGTGTCTCGTGGGCCCCGTGACTCGGCGGACACACCGATCGCGCAGCACCCGAATCCACCATGACCCAGTGCTCATTGATACCGATGATCTCCTTGTTCTCGAACGTCTCGTGCTCGTTTGCTGCCCCTGGCTGGCTCAGCTGCTCGATCGGGCTGGCCCCGACCAAGAATGGCTGCCTCGGCTGCTCGTGCTCGTTTGCTGCCTCTGGCTGGCTCAGCTGCTCGGTTGGGCTGGCACCGTCCAAGAATGGCTGCCTCTGCCGCGCGTGCTCGTTTGACGGCCCGCTCGAACGAAGGTGGATCGCTGTCGTCGCTGGTGCTAAGGGCGTCGCTGCTGCTCCACTCGATAACGACTCTTGCCCTTCTTCCAGCTCGATCGCGAGGCACCACAGTGGCTCTGCCCCGCTTTCGGTCGCGATCGCCATCACCGGTGCCGCGCTCCCCGCGGCGCTCGCCGCTGGTGGAGCTCCCGTCGGCTTCGACTCCTGCTCGACCGCGTTGGTGCCCTTCTTCTTCTTCTGCTCTGCGAGGAACTTCCTGCACTCGCTCTTGACGTGACCGGTCTTGTGGCAGTGGAAGCACCGTTTCTCGGCCCTGTCCTTGGCCGCCTGGCTCCTCTGGTCCGTGGAGTTGTCGCCGCCCTTGCCCTTCCTGCCTTTGCCTTCCTTGCCCTTCTTTCCTTTGCCCTTGTCGCGCTCGCGCCTCGCCTTCTCCACCGCGCTCGTGTCCATCGGAACTGGTGGCGGCACTGCTGAGATGGCGCTCCTCGTCGAGATCACCATGTGCACCTCGTTGCGCATGAGCTCCCACGTGACTAGCCTCGACGCGTTGTGGACCAGGTGCGCTCGAAGAGCTTCGTCCTGAATCCCCCGCTGAAGGATCGCCATCTTGATCCTGTCCCCAATCCTCTCGTGGCTCTGGCTCTCGTACTTCGTGACCTTGAAGTCGAAGTCCGCCAGCATCCCCACGATGTTGTCCTCTGGGAACTGGAACGCGATCAGCTCTTGCAGCAGTCCTGCGTGGCGACCGGGTCTGTCGGGCTCGTACATGTCTTGTAGTGTCCTCCAAGCCCGATACCCTTCTCCGACGCCGACTGGCTTGATGAGCTGGAGTGCAGCTCCTTCCAGCAGCAGGACGAGGATGAAGTACAGCTGACGACTGCGCTGACTCGCTCCTTCCTCCAGGAGCCTCGCGTTCCTCACCTCCTCCAGCGGGAACGTCATGGCCGCCGTCAGCTCGTTGGCCATCTGCTCGTCGAGAGCCCCGAGGTAAGCGAGCATCTTGAAGCTCCACCCTGGCCACTCGTCCTCGCTGCCTCCGAACGCCTTCGGCTTCGCTAGAAGCCGAGTGTCCACCAGATCCTGTGGCGCGGCCCTCGCCGCTGCCACGGGCCTGCTCGCGGCGGCGCCTGCGCTCGCTGCTGCTGACTCCGCCGCCAGGGCGCGCTCCTCTGCAGCCTGCACCCGTTGTTCGGCAGCCTGCAACGCTCCCTCGAGCGCCTGGAAGCGTCGCTCGATCTCTTCCATACCTCAGATCGAGCTTCTCGTCGAACTTCCTGCTCCTCAGGATGTCTGCCTTGTTCGACCTTGAGCCTCGCTTCGTCTTCTTCTTCTTCGGCGGCGTGCTGGGCTAAGAAGGGCCGGCTGGCGCGGCCCCCGCCGCTGCCAGCCGCCAGGGCGCGGCCCTCGCCGCTGCCCTATTGCTGGCGCGCGCGCGCGCCGCGGGTGGCTGGAAGGGAAGCGGCGGCGGGAACGAACCCACGCCGCTCCGCTACCATGTTGATGGTTTTTACTTGGACCAAGGGGCTACAGATTTAGCTAGGGCCCCCCATAGTTCCGAAATGCCCAGAGAAGGCAGGGACGGGATGGGACGGGGGGGAGCTTCGGAAAACCCCCCTTCTCCTTTCCAAGAGAGGGGGGGGCGCTTCAAGCCGGGGCCCCCTTTTCGATGAGAAGCCTGCCACGAGCGCGCTCTTTCAAACACACCCTGCAGGGCTGCTCTTTTTCGAAGATTCGTGGGGATGGCAGAGTCGGTGCCTCCTCCTCCTCCTCCTCCTCCTCCTCCTTTTCCTCATCCTCCCCCTCCTCCTCCCCCTCCCCCTCCTCCTCCTCCTCCTCCTCCTCCTCCTCCTCGGCCTCCTCGGCCTCCTCGGCCTCCTCGGCCTCCTCCTCCTCCTCCTCCGCCTCCTCCTCCTCCTCCGCCTCCTCCTCTTGCCCGCGGTCTCGCCCTGCCAAAACTCGCTGAGGTGTCCAAGGGCTCTCGCCAGAGGCACAGAGCTTCGTCTAGCTTTGTGGATGCCATGACAATGGACACTCAACCATCCTATCATTGAATTAGAGACGTGCTTAAACTGTGTAAACATGTTCTAAACATGTTTCAAACATGTTTCAAACATGTTTAAACCATCTTCTACAATCTTGAAATTATGTGGCAGCGCGCTTCCTTTCCATTAATCGACTTCCACTAGCTGTGCTGCACACTGCACGATTCTGGGGCGAAGCTCAACGGACCCATACGAAAACAGCGCGTTCGCCCGAATTTGGCCGCGTTTGCGGCGGAGTGGCGGACGAGTTGCGGCAAACGGCGCGACATGGAAAACGCGCGCCTGCGATCAGGCCCCGTGGGCCAAAGCGACTTTCTCCTCCGCCTCCTCCTCCTCCTCATCATCATCATCATCCTCTTCCCCTTACTCTTCCTCCTGTTACAGGCCAGCCGCCGCAAAGGCCTCAGACCGAAAAGGGTTCCGTCCTGGCACCTCGCCATGGTGGGCCGAAGGAGTGGATGACTTCCCCCACCGTGCGCAGTGGAGGAGCGGGGAGGAGGTGGAGGAGAGCGGAGGGAGCAGGGGCGAGGGTTTTCACTCGAGAGTAGAAGGGACAGCGCTCTGGCGTTGCTGGCCCCGATAGCTCACAGCCTCTGCAGCTGCAAGCGGATCTTGGTGAAGATGTCAAGCAAGACCGCCAGCAGGAGCGCATGCCCTTGCCCGTTGCCTTGCCGTTAAAGTCGCCCTTGTCCTTGCCCGCGCCCATGACTTGGGGCGGAGCGGTGACGGGCGGCAAGATGGTGTCATCCACCTCGAACAGGGTCTTATCGCCAAATTGGTGGCCCTGCTTCTCATTCTTGATCTTCGGCACGGCGTAGTTGGTCATGGGCTCCTCAGGGCATGCGCCTTCGTTATGCACTCCATGTTGACGGACCAGTCGTACTCGGTAGGCTTGAGCTCGCAGGAAGAGTCCGCCATGCACGAGAAAACCGCAACCTTTTTCGGCATTGTCGCCCAGCACCTCCTTCATGAGCTTCGAGGGTGTCTCGAACTCCGCTTTCAGGTCCCCTTTCATCAGCTCCTCCATCTTATTGGAGTCGTAGTCGTTCTTGGTGGCCCCCTTTTGGAAACCGAGTGTTCTCCAGGATCATCACGTCCTCGACGCTCGGGGCCGAGACGACCTCCTGCACATCCGCGCTGGTGTTGCCGTCGCCCGACTCCTGGCACGCCTCCGAGGTCGTCACGTCGGACGCCACGTCGACGCACTTCCGAGGGCGGCGCCGCCCCCGCTGGAGCCGCTTGCCGCCCGCCTCGTCCTTGGCCAGGGACGCGACCTCGAGCGGCACGCCAGCGGCATCCTTGAAGACGTGCTCCGCCCGCGACCTTGGGGCGCCGCGCCTCAGCAGCCGCGCGGACGCCCTCCTCGATGACGGGGGCAATCAGGTCCAGACGGGCGTCGACCTCGACCTGGACGCCACCGCCGCCTCCCGTAGCCACTGCCACTGCACGGGCCGCCCGAATGGCAGCCGCCGCGATCGCCGCCAGGGCCTGGCGGGTCGCGCCGCACTCCGCTGCCCCTCGCACGGCAGCACCAACCAGCGCCGCCAAAAGCTCCAGCTCGCCTGCAGGGTCCCCGTGCCGGGGAGCGACCGCTGTCATGCCCAGCCGCCGGCGGAGACGCGCGCGCGGGCCAAGGGGCGGCTTGAGCCAAAATGGCTACGGTAGCAGGGGCGAGGGAGAGGGATGAGGGAGGATGGAGAAGGCCGTCGCCGCCGCGATCGTCGCCGTCTTCGTTGCCCTCGTCCCCCTCGCCCTCGACGTCGCCGTCGCCCTTGCCCTCCTCATTCTCCTCCTCCTCCTCCTCCTCCTGGTCTTCCTCCTCGTGAATGCTTCCTTGGTGGGACGGAGGGGGGAGGAAATAGGGGACCGCACCGCCTCACAAATGGGCCCGGACACGCACCAGGCACTCCGGGGCAAGACCCGCCGGGTGCTCACGGAGCTAGGGGTCTTTGCGAACCCGTCCTTGACACGGCCAAGCGCAAGTAGAAATTCGGCGGCGGCGGTATCTGCGACGAACACCCCGGGGGCATGAATCGCTTGATACTGACAGAGCCAGGCTTCTTGCGAGCTCGTCCTCGACACAGCCTAGCGCAAGGAAGAGGACACTCGGCGGCTGCGATATGTACATCGCCGCACGGTAAAGCCAAGCGGCCAAGACCGCCTTCTGCCCATCCTCTGCTCTGGTCCTCCGCCTTCCGAACATCATCCTCGTATGTTCGCCTGTCTCCTCCTCCTCCTCCTCCTCCTACTCCTCCTCCTTAGTCTGATCCCTCCCTGGTGGGAGGGAGGACGGAGGAGGGGAGGGGCTCGGAGAAGAGAGCAGAGATAGGGAGCCCACAATGGGCGTACGCGGCCAGCCACGTACATGAATACGGCCCCCCAGTCAGCGAGGACAGCCCCATGTTGCGAACGTTTGCGCAATGCGTACTCTCGAAGCCAGAGTGGATTCATGTACGTGCACGCCCTTTAAAAGTTCCTGAAGAGAGGCCCCCTCAGCGCGTGGCCAAAGGATGAGGGGATGATGGGAATGGGGGGAATACCCTGACTCCGGATCTTTACTTTGGTTAGTATCCGGCTCGACATTATGTCGGAGTTGTACCCCAAACACTGCAAACAAATCCGCCGACCCTGTCGGCGTGTGGAAGACGCTGTTCTATTTGACTCGTCGCCATCGACGTCGTCGTCGTCGTCCTACTCGTGTGGCTGATGCTTCTCCTTCGACGATCGATGGCTCGAATGCGGAGGCACTTCCTCTGAGAGGAGCCTTGTCAATGATCGGCGGCGACGATGAGGGCGAATAGTCCAGGGGCGGGCATTACACGTACTCCAGTGGGCGGACAAAATATCGCAAGTTATATGATCGTTCCGAGAAACAAGATGACAATTTTGATCATATTCCATCGATATCCGAGGAGCTCCCCTTCCCCCGTATTTCAATGTTGACTTGCATTATTTTGTCCTCCCGGACTTGGGGTGCTCGCTCGATGCCAACATTGAAATTTAGGGGGCGGGGGCGTTTTGTCGAGGTGGCGTCGCAATGTCGGCGCGGCCGTACGCGGCCAGGAGCAACTTGCAACATTTCGTCGTCCCACCGTCGCCCGGGAGCCCTGTCGAAGACATAGATCATCGGCGCCCCTGGATACTCCAGATTTCGTAATAAAGGGAGGGGGTTTCATTTCGGGGGGGGGTCTTTTCCAGGCTATCTTGGAGGGCCTGGGGGGGTCTGGGGACGATGTTTTGGAGGGTTCTCCCACGGGGGAGCTCTGAATTGGCTTGTCTTGGAGGGTCCAGACCCCCTCCCTCTTATTACGAAATCTGGAGGACATGTGTTGCTCCCCCCTGGACTGTTCGCCCCTATCGTCGCCTCCGAAAGGAGGCCCGGAGGAACCCTCTCCTCGCCTGGCGCCGCACTCCTACGAGGGGCTCGATCTCGCCGCGGGCGCGCCGGTGGGCCTCACCGCGCGGCCTGTCCGGGGGGGGGGGGAGGAGGTCTGCTCGGCGGCGAGCGAGAAGGCAGAGGCCGCCCAGGTGGGGTCGGAGTAGAGCAAGGGGCCCAAGGACACGCAAAGAAAGACACACAGATCACAGAATCCCCCTATACTTTCCCATATTTTTTGGACTTTCGTCTTCCCCCCACTTCCCATATTTTCCCATGTCTTCCTGGGAGTCGACAATTCATTGTGTCCGTGTTTTTTCCCCTCCTGAGTAGATGGGGTCGGAGGATCTCGCCGAATCGCCGATACATCTGCAATGCATCGGCGATGCATCGGTGGTGCACCGGCGATGCACTTTCGACGTCGGCGATGCGTCGGCGACGTCGACGTGAAGCAGATCGGGTTCCACATCGAACCGCATCGGCGATGCATCGGCGATGCGGCGCGATCCTCCCACCCCATCTACCCCGACTCCATCTAGGAGGCCTAGAGAGGGGGAAGTGAGAAGGAGAAGGCCCTCTCAGGAGGCTGCGGGACTTCTCAGAAGTCTCACTTCACCGACCTTGCAGACGTGCTGCAGCGGATTTTAGAGTGGATTCTGTCAATGTTAAAACCGAAACGGCAAGCGAAAAATGAAAAGAATTTCACGCGATTTGTTTTGTCTTCATTCTTGGCCAAAAGAATTTCGCACGAAATTCACCTCGAAATCCAGAGCGAAATTCTCTAGGACACTCCGGGCCCATCTCATTTTCTCCCGAACGAAATCCGC